AAAGAGAGAGAGAGAATAGAGAGGGGGATATACGTAGACCGCTATGGTTTTACGCCTCCAGCCATTGGGTAAACCCCTCTCCATTCCCTCCACCCTCTTTTCTCTCTCTTTCTCTTTCTCTCTCGTCTTCTCAGTCACAGTAGTCTACTTCCAGAAGCCTCTAGACTGGTTTCGCGTGTTGACTTATCTTGCTTACTCCCCCTTTCTGGAACAGGTGTGAACAGGCATCGCTTCCTATAAAAATAATGCCAGTATGATAGGCATGCATACTTTTACATGGCGATGGGGGATATGGAAGTGTAACTGCACTAATAAATAGATGATACAGTCTGAGTTACAGGTCACTACGCGCGGTTTTCCCCCAAGACGAAGAAGCAGTGCATGATTATTTTCTAGAACGGTAGCCACTTGTATGAACTCTACACTCTGTAGTGCGTGTAACTGCTTGCGTTTATTATGTAAAACACAACAAAATAGAATGTGCAAAACGTATTTTACGTTTTGGAATAATTGTTTGTAAATAAGGCTGCCGGCGAGATATAGCACTCTTATGACGTCATCACACGACTAGACGACGTCAGCTCGATGCCAGATTCGCCGGCTGAGAAAAGTCTGACGGTCTGAGACTGAGTACCGGGAATCCACACCGTCCACTCAAACCACTTTATCTTCTTACGCACTTCTCTCTTCCACTTTTTCCCCCTTTCTTCTCCTTTCTTCTCCTTCTGTATTTTGCCCCCCCCCCCCCTCTCTTCTCTCTCTCTCTCTCTCTCTCTCTCTCTCTCTCTCTCTCTCTCTCTCTCTCTCTCTCTCTCTCTCTCTCTCTCCTCCTCTCTTCTCTCTCTCTCTCTCACACACATACACACACACATATACACAAACAAACACTCCCACACACACTCTATGTCATTTCTCTTTCTATGTACCTTTTTCACCCTCCCAGGATCAGCATTCACATCAGTCTCAATACACAGTAATTCTTCACTTCCTCCTAGGCATCCTCATTACTAATCTCACACTCATTCCCCCCCTCCCCTACCTCACCTCCCTCCCCCCTCTTCCCTCCCATCTCCCCTCCCCTCCCTCCCCCCCTCCCCCACCTCTCCCCTCCCCTCCCCCACCTCTCTCCTCCCCTCCTCTTCCCTCTACCCCACCTCTCCGGTTTCGTCACGTGCACTTTGCGTGCTACGTGATAGGTTATCGCCGTGGATATGGTGGCTGGAATTGGTCGTCGATGCTAAGCTGTGGTTATTTGTGGAGACGTCTTAGCATTTGTTTACTGAGTCAAGCGTGTGTATACTTCTGAATATATGTAATTGAGACATAAAAACGGAAGATACACAGGAAAAATTATAAAATAAATTAATGTATGCTGTCTGTGTGTGTTTGTGTGTATGTCTATGTGCGTGTGTGAGAGGCAGACACACACGCACATACTGAGAGAGAGAGAGAGAGAGAGAGAGAGAGAGAGAGAAGGAGAGAGAGAGAGAGAGAGAGAGAGAGAGAGAGAGAGAGAGAGAGAGAGAGAAGAATAGAATTACAAAACCGCATAAAAACCAAATTTGATAAATGATTTATAAAAATTGAAATTTAATAATAGTTATAAAAAACTAAATAATCATTATATAACAGTTTTGTTTACTATTCATCTACAACCAAACCTGATAATGCTTTGTTGTAAATGGAAATGTTATCGAGCAATCTTACTCTAGATCTCCGCGTTATTTTTATATCGGATTCAATTTTCCGGACGTAACGTTTTTCTCCGTGTATACACTAGAATTTCTGGTTATCTGAGTGTTGCTAAATTAAAAAAAAAAAAAAAAAAAAAAAGGCTGGGTAGTGTCTTCTCATCATCACGCGTTAGTTATTAGATGCGCTGAGTGGTAATGATTATTGCACAGGGTTTTTGTGCCTTGTTGTTGTCTACTGTTCCTGCTTCCTTTTCCATTTTGATTGTCATATTTTTTAATGCGAAAGTTATGATGCTTTTGTGCGTGTGTGTGTGTTTGCTTGTTTAAGTGTGTGAGTGTGCGTGTGTGTGTGTGTGTGTGTGTGCATGTGTGTATGTGAACATATGTGTGTGATAGAAACGATAAAAATAAAATTAAAAACTTCGCTCATTTCGCACCAGCAATCGCCCAGCGAAGGTACGATCAGCGGCGCCAAAGAACAGGTGTCTGCGGCGTCCATTTCGATCGGCCGCTCGCGCACGTCACCCCGGGAGTCGCATTTCGTGCCTCTCGACGACCCGGAATTTCTGCGTTGTGCAAATAACTGATTGTTTGCGAATTGTGATCGACGGGGGGTTTATATGTGATGTCCACGGCTATGTGCAGGGGAAGTTTGCACGATTTGATTTAATTCTTTCAATTGTAGACAGTGATAAGGTCCTTTTAAAAAGATGTTATATGATGTTTTCTACTTCACTCCGCCAATTATTCGCATGATAGTCACCGGTTCTGTCTTCTCCACCATACCACTCGTCCTTCCCTCCCTC